ATATATAAATTGAAAAATTATAAAATGAAAAAAAAAATAGTGTTCAACACTATTTTATACTACAAATTAAATTATTTGTGCCATAAAAAAGCGTGCACATTGTATATGTACAAATAATAAAGCCAAAGTAATGACAACAATATAACATATATGTATTCTAAATACAACACTTTTGTTTACATAACGTATAAAACAAGCACACCTTCAAAATTATTTTAGTAAAATAAATGCAGTAAATTATTTTATTAATATGAAGTAAAGCATGATGATGCATTATTTATACAATAAATAAAAACAAATTAATTCATCTTATAGATAATTATACTATATACATTAGAACCATAATATAAATTTATTAAAAGATTTAGACTAAATAATGAAATTTCAAAATCTAAAGAAAGATAGAATATGATTTATCTCTGCTATCTAAATAAAGAAATTATTGAATTATAGAAATTTTCTTTTTCATGCATATTTTATAGAAAGTATATAGAATGTTTTGTAAACATATTTTATTTACTGATATGTATTAACAAATTAAATTCAACAATTTCAAAAAATTAATATTTTCAATATATTTTTAAAGTGATTATGTATTGATAACAGCTATCTGTTCAATAGTGAAAAGAACAATTCATTAATATAATAACTCTTCATTGATTGTTTAGAGATCATTTACCATACTAAGAAGTAAAATCATAATGTGAAATTAGATTTTAAAGGTATTGGTGTCAAAGGTAGCAGTAACATACGTTGAATCAGCAAGAGAATTATTTATAGGCAGATTTTGGGATGAAGTGGGTGAGGGTGTTAGCTCGATCACTTCTTCGCTGTTGACTCTTAGCAAAGGACTCGGCTGACGTGCCCTGCAATCCCCACCATGCAAGCAAAAGATAGAAAATGGAAAATAGAATATTAGAGAAGAAAGAAGTATAAAAAGCAGGATATAGCAGAAACTGATTTTAATTCACCATTACCAATAAATCAGCAGAAATTAGCAACATTGATCATATTCATGGTAGAAGTTTGATATGAAATGCACTATTATAATAATAGATTAAAAAAAAAAAGAGGACATGAATATTATTCAATAAGATATCTTGATATTTTATATTTACACGTAATAAATATTTTTAACTATGTTTTTATTTCTCCAAGAAGTAAGATCAGAATTACTCCCATATAATTCTTCTTGGAAAAAAACTGAAAAAACTTTAGACAATAATTAACAATTATTTTAACTACATAGTATGATGATCTTTACGAATGAGTAATGGTTCTAAAGCCTTTCTAAACATTTTATATCTTGTACATGGAAATATTCAAGATTCAACATTACTCACTCGGATCACCAAAGAGTAGGATAGCTATACAGAAAAAATTGAATTTGTGTACTGCAAGGATTGTGCGGGAAAACCAAAAGACACCACTAACAAATGTAATAAATAAATTAACTCACCCAGCAAGCTCACGTTGTAATTCTTGCATAGTTGCATGACACTGTGCATAGTGACGTGCTTGTGCCTCCACAAATTCATGTAAACATCGCAAATGTCCAGCTTGAGAGCTTGATACTCCTTCTAAAAGTAGTTTCACGATCTCTGCCTGTCGATCAAATTCCGATTGTGCCACCCTCAGCTCCCTCTCTGCCTAAGTTTAGTAATATTCAAGTTTCATTTCTTTCTTTGTATAATTCAAATATGTTATTAAAATATGTTATAAACAATTTTAAACTTTTACTTAAAAATTATATAGTTCCATTATATATCTATGAAGTACTTATAAATAAATATTTTGTTAAATTTATTATATGTACATGCATTAATGATGGCTTTGCACTTGTTTAGGTATTTATGTGTGATGTAATTAACATATATAGACAAATATAACAATTAGAAAAAATAACAATAAGGGATAATTTTATGATGTAAAATCTTGAACGGTCGCAATACATTACTTAATGTAGTATGAAATGTAATGCCTGTATTCCTTCTTATATAAAAATACATAATAAGTAAAAGTTATAACAAATGATGGCAGGATGAAAGACAAACAAAAATGGATAGTTATTCAATATTTACAGTTGTATTACTAGTTCTGTTTCGTTCCTATTATTATTTCAACTCGTTTGCAATGTGTAAATATATTAAAATAAAATAAAATAAAATGAAATGAAATAAAATAAAATAAAATAAAAAAACCACATTGCATAAGAGTGAATATTTCTGAACTTTTAACTTCGTTAATACCTGATCAAGTAATACTTCGGGTGAAACGCCAGAGTCCTATGAAATGCAGCAATGTACGGGACAAAACACAGAATAAACATACAGACCAAATGCATTAGTTAAACAAACGACAATAGAACTTACACTCTGTTGACCCAGCATACTTCTGGCTTTCCTTACTCGATTTTTGCATGCATCTAAATCCAACCTAAACATAATTGCATTCTTTTATGATAACGAATATTCTTTCAACTAAATGTATAATTTTATATTACCTCTTGGTTTCTAAAATAGCCATCTCTTTAATAACAGTTTTCATTTCCCCATCTAGAAACTTTCTTAATGGTTGTATATAACAATTAGCCGCTATTCCAATAAAATCTCTTTCAATTTGTCCCAGCTTTTGTTGACACTGACCTACTTTTATCAAAGCGCTACCTATAATAAAATATAAAAATGAGAAAATATATTATAACAAATTTCATAAAAATAATCAATTAACAATAGATACTAGACACATACCATAGGCAATTCCACTTCCAAAATGATTTCCCGCTTCTATCATGTCAATGCCTACATATTCAAGATTGCTGAGCCTATTAGGTTTCTTTATATCGATTTTTTCATAAAAGAAATCCTCAATTCTATTTCCTAGAATAAAATCCAAATTATCATTATTTCTTTGTTTATTTATTTTTATTTTTATTTATTTTTATTAACTTTCCAATTTGTCATTTTATACCTGGATTAGGAGTAAGTACAGCTTCCATATTGCTGAGAACTTTTTCTGTCCATGTTTTAGTTGCATTTGCTCTTTCTGCAAGATGTTCTAAATGTGCATCTAATTCAGTTTTCTCAGATGTACCTAATGTTTCCTCTGTTAACTAATAACATAGAAATTTGATTATGGATTTTTCTCTGAAAATTCAATAGCAAATGTATCATTTTATAGAAAAAATATTCAAAAAATTCTAATCTGATATTTAAAATTAGATTATTTGTAATTTTTGTGATTATAAGAAATAAGTGATAATTTTTAAAAAGAATATAATAATGGTATTAGTCATTGTTTGGTACGTATAAACTGAGTCATCCAATAATAGAATTGTCTACAATATAGTTGTAATGCCATTAGTAGAATTTATTTTATTATATGTTATTTCTTTAAATATACGGTATTCTATTAATGGATTCAAATGACGTATTATACAATCGACAAATTATGCGTATACTTCATACAACATAAATGTGTAATAGAAGGCTAATGCATTCATTGTCAATTTTGTTCTCATAGATTACAATTAGGTTAAAAAACGGTTCTTCGCGAGGTCGTATTATATAGATCAAATTAAGTTTCTAATATATATGTCAAGTTGTTAAATAACCTCTAAGGAAAATTAATCGATGTTTTGTTGTCAATCATATTTGAATTTTAATTTGTGCAAGAAAAGTACAAAATGTCAGAAGTGACAGCGTTTACAAACGACTTGATAGTAGAGCACATCATATTTTTCTATGTTATAAAGGTATAACTTTTCCAACAATCAATTATAAAAATCTTACCTGTACAACTCTGCTCAGTACAGCACCAGCATCTTTAACCAATTTCTTTACATTAAAATCCATTTTTTCTCTTTAACAACGCGATTGTTCAGCGAGTACGTTCTATTGCTTTTTATTTTCTATTGCTTCTTATTTTCTATCGATCCATAATTCTGCGAATTTCCGTAAAGTGGCGCCGCTGAACTTTACGTATAAATTCTTTAGTATTCAAATATTCCCGCCTTTTATTCTAGAATATTATCATAATACATAGTAAAATATATATTTAAATTTCGTATTCTTTTTTGAACAATTTTAAATACTTTAATTAATTTATTATACTTATACATGTCGGTGGAAATCAAATAAAATTGTTGTTTTTTTTAATAGTGCTTTATTTCAATAGATTATGAACTTCTTTTGAAATACATTATTTACTAAATTATTAAAGACACTGAACGTTATTCAAAAAATTTTAGGAAGATTGAAAATTAAGACACAACATTTATAAAAAAAATAAACGTTCTTATATTGAATATATGAAATACAATTATCGCTCATCACAAATTCTATGAATCTATTTGGGTTGATCAGCTTATCCTACAGTTAAAAGGTATTCATATAGCAAAAAGTAATATTTGTACCTGACAATGGACCATTATTTTAGTTTATAATCAAGAAATTCTTCAAGAAAGTAGTCCACTTAATATTGATGTCTTTGATGAAAAAACTGCAGGAAGTTCAGGATTTTATCCTGGAATTATCACTAAACAAAAATTGAACTATTGTATCATACTGTTTTTCTTCATTCATCTAGTTATCATCGGATAATTACCTGTTCCAAACGATGAAATTTCTCCATAGAACAAGTGGTAATGGAATTTACACGTGAGTTGAACTGTTTATTAAGTCCAAAGGTGCAAAATTCTGCAAAAATTCAATGAATCAACAAACAAATAGGTTGAAATTAAGATAAAAAAAAATGAAGACTGTTCTTTTTCTAGAAATTTTATTTATATATAAAGTACATTTTTTCGTAACATTAAAAACCAATAAAACTTTTGTTCCTCCTACAAGTTCATGATACCATGCACTTCCAAATATATTAGTACAATATATATGTGATAAATATTTTTTAATTTTTTATCAATTAAAATTAATGCATAAATTGGTTTGTGGAATTAACGTTTAATTGACCATATAATAAATGTAACAAAAGATTTAGAAATATACAAAGGTCATATCTATATTTATTATAATTCTAATGGTACATTTCAATATCACTTATAAATGCAATATTTATATAATAGAGTTATGATGGTTCGTGGTATAGTTCTGCTAACTCAATGGAATGATGCTCGACATCACAATTATATCATTATAAAGGCAACAATTGTTTACTTACTATTAGCCCATTGGCCAGCCATTAAACGTCATTGTGATTTCATAGACACAAGCTTTCGCGAACGTGCTCGAACTTCTGTACGAATATTTGTATATTCAAACCACAATACATTTGGAATTAAAGTTGTATCACGCAACAGCAGATATTCTGATACTCGCCTAAAAATAATATACTTCATAATTACCATACATAGGATTTTGATACACTAAATCAGTAAATAAGATAAATATTCACCACGATACAATAAGAGGAAATAAAGGAGTCAAAATTGTATGTGTGATTAAAAACCATGCTACTCCTAAAGTGGCTCCCACAAGCATACCGCATAGAACCTGGGAGATTGAGTGGTATTGTAGATAAATTCTGCCATAAGACACTAAAACAGTTACTATTATGCAGGCAGCCACAATAATTATTCGCCAAAACCTTTCAGATATTGTGCTATTATTATTATGATGTAACCTGTATAACAAACAAATTATCATTAGATCATTATTAGATTAATCGATAATATAATGATAAAATGACAAAATAAATATTTACCTAATGCATATGAAAAGTATTGCATATGCGGTAAAGAACCACATAAATTGTGCATGTGTAGAGGGCATACCATATTCGTTGTAAATACCATCACGTTTTAATGGTCTTACTTCACGAATAGTATGTTTTAATATTAAATTAACAAATTCGTTCAATATAATTCCACTAAAAAATGCAATCTGAAAAAGATAATAACAAATAAACTTTGTAAATGATTACTGTAGATATAGGATAACATAAATACAAATTAAACAGAACTTCTAATCTTTTCTACTTACAGTATGTAAATCTCTTCTGAAGAGAATCAATGTCATAAAACCAGTTAAAATAACGAAGGGTGTTAAGCTTATTAGGGCCAATAATTTACCAAATATGTCTCCTATAAAAAAAAAAAACATTGCATTTAATTATAATAATAAAAAAAAATAAAACTTATTGGTCATATGAAGTTGAAAAAATAATAAAAATAGGAAATTGTTATTTTACAACACAACACAAAGTGTATTGTTATAATGATTTTATGTTTTCATTCAAAAAAATATGATATAAAAAAAATTTGTGAAAAATCAATGATACCTGCCATGTAAACAGGTAGCAATAAAAATGTATACACGAAGAATCCGAAATTAGGATGATCGCACATGTCTGTTTCCGACTGACGCCGACTATATTTCTGATTGTGGTAATACTGAAAAATCTTTACCTTGTGGATATTCGATTAAAGTCAAAGACAAGGGAACCCATTCCACTTCATCAGTCGCGTGAACGAAATGTGGTTTAAGCTCGTCGTCGAGCGATGCCATGTTACCGGAAAATTTGAAGTCGCATGACTTTCGGACTCTCCTAAAACAGCAATCATAAGACTGAGAGCAACTGAGAACAACTGAGAGCCGCTGAGAGCTAATAAACTTGAATGAGCTATAATAACTTTTTTTAAAGATAATACCTCTACGCTACCGACAGATGGTAGCAGCAGCAGCACTATCGATTATGGAATTCTAATCACGAACAAAGCACAGCTATTCATCATCCCTGCTTTTATAATCCTTTATGCCAATAATGAGAACAGGGATAATTCTTTATCGATTTTGATGAACAAGGAATCATTTTAAATACAAAGATTAAATCTAAAATTTCACTTTTTCGAATTTTTGAGAAAGCTTTACTTTCTTTGAAAAAAATCGTATTAAAAAATGATATTTCTTCAGAATAGTTTACGTACAAATAGAAAGCATTTTCAAAAATACGAAAAAGATATGTCTTATAAAAAACTTTCTTCTTTAGCATGAGATCTTCAACATCAAAATTAATCAATAATTATGCTTGTTCTCATTGTTGGCGTAAATACTGTTTTTGACATTTTTTTCGTAGAAAGTTTTATACTGTGGCGCTGCTCGAAATTTGCGGCAAAAGAGAAGCTCGTATCATCATTACTGACTTCCATATCACGAATGAATAGACTATGTTTGTTATGAAATAGCGATTAACTGCTTGTCGTGTACGTGAATAGCTGATGCTCAGATTTCCTAAACCACTTCAAACGCAAAAAAATGCATTTCATAATTCTCGTACAAAGAATCTACGCAAACTTTCTCGGTCATTCTTTGAACAAAAGATACTACGGCATAGGAATATAGATATAGATATAGGAATATACAATAAGGAAATTCATGTCCAATGTTACAAAGATCGTTACGCGCGAGAAACTTGAAATAATTTTATAATAAATTTCCAATACTTAATAATTTTAAACTCAGGGTAGTTGGCCTTGTATAATATAAACATAAACAGTATTTTCATTAACTTTGACGATTAGCGAATTAGTTCTCTGTTGTACTCCGACGAGTGCACATCGACTCTCTATCTTTTTAAACGCAGAAACATAAATTTATAATTTTGGTAATTTTTCGACCAAAAGCTTGATGAACAGTCTTAAACGTATAAAAATAATTTATTTATGATACCAACAATGAAAATTATACTATACAAATAGATCTATGTAATACAATGAGATTTTCTTACGAGCGTATTGGCAAAAAACTAGTGAATCATTAATCGTAAATATCATTAAATGAATCTGTAACTCGAGCCACCTGATTGGTCGGCGAATAAATAATGCGCGTCTTTATGTAAGCGATTGTTACCTTTATATTGTGAGCTGAAATGTATTACCAATGAAAGTCAAGTGAGTATTGCACATCGACTATGTATATATCGTTTTATTAACAGAGCTACTTTATAGTTTTATATATATATACATACATGCATATGTTTATAAGATATAAAACGATACCTTCTAGTCTTCATGTTTCTTTATTTGTAAAGAAAAAAGATATTTTAATAAATAAGTTTATTATGTATATTATTTTAAACTATGTATTAATTTAAATCTTGTAAATAACATTGATTTTTATGAAAATAATATAACTACAAGTTTGAAAATAATTACATTACGGTGTACTTTATGTACATACACACGTGGAGTTATTTTGTATGCAGATGCATCATTGGTTGAAAAAATTAAATTTAAATAATTTACAAATAATGACAGAAGAAAAATCATCACCTTTGAAGTTCGAAATTTTAGCAGAATGTAGAACTAGCAAAGCAAGAACTGGGAAAATAACTTTAATACATCATTATGTAGATACACCAGTTTTTATGCCAGTAGGAACACAGGTAGATTAATTATTTCTCTTATAGTGTTATATAAATATATTTAAAAAAAAAATGTTTATTATATGAGATTATTTATGATATATTTTAGGGTACTCTGAAAGGTTTATTACCTCAACAATTAGAAGAATTGAATTGTCAAATAATTCTTGGCAATACTTATCACCTTGGGAATAGACCTGTATTTTGTCTCTTATTTTTAACAAATCTTGGTTTTTAAATTTTCTCAAAGTTTAAATAGTAAATCTTATTGTGTAATTATAATGTTTTAGGGTACCGAAATATTGCGTAAAGCAGGAGGTTTGCATAAATTTATGAATTGGAAAAGAGCATTATTAACTGATTCTGGTGGGTTTCAAATGGTATCATTATTACAACTTGCCAGAATTACAGAAGAAGGAGTGAACTTTAAATCTCCATATAATGGTAATGTGTAAGAGTGCAAAAAGTACAATTATTTTATAAATCATGTATTTAATTGTAGATATTCTTTCTTTTTTTGTAAGATACTGATTGCATGTTAACTCCTGAACGCTCTATTCAAATTCAGAATACAATTGGTGCTGATATAATAATGCAATTAGATGATGTAGTTAAAAGTACACAAACTGGACCAAGAGTGACAGAAGCTATGGGAAGGTAAACATTGATTCAATAAATCATATTTTATTTATTATATTATAATAATATAATTAAATACTATTAATAGTAATATTTAATTTGTAGAACAATAAGATGGTTAGATAGATGTTTATTGGCACATGAAAGATTTGATGAACAAAGTATATTCCCTATTGTACAAGGTGGATTAGATCCTAAATTAAGATCAGAATGTGCGCATGAATTAACGAAAAGAAAAGTAAATGGTTATGCAATTGGAGGATTAAGGTATCATTTTATTATAAATACAATACACCTAACTCTATAAATTATAGATTTGTATATAAAAAAATGAATTATATAGTTATATATAAAGAAACTAAAAATTTATTATAGTGGTGGTGAAAGTAAAGATACATTTTGGAAAATGGTACATCTTTCTACTGATATTCTTCCAAAAAATAAACCTCGTTATTTAATGGGTGTTGGTTTTGCTACAGATCTAGTTGTGTGTTGTGCATTAGGTGTTGACATGTATGACTGTGTATTTCCAACAAGAACAGCTGTAAGTAAAGCACTATGTACCCTTTATTATACTTTCAAAATAGTTTTATAAAAAACAATTTGTTTTTAATTGATAATTTCAGAGATTCGGTTGTGCTTTAGTACGTACAGGTCAACTTAATTTAAGACAAAACCAATATAGTAAAGATATGAGGCCAATTGATGAATCTTGCCCATGTAGCACTTGTAAGACATATACACGTGCATATCTTCACCAAATAGTTACAATAGAAACAGTTGCATGTCACTTATTAACAGTTCATAATATAGCATTTCAAATGAATTTAATGAAAGATATTAGAGAAAGTATAAAGCAACAAAAATATCCTGAATTTGTACAAAATTATATGTTAAATGTGTATCCAGATAAAAAATACCCAGAATGGATAGTTAATGCCTTGCAGACAGTTAATATTACATTATTATAACAATTAATGAAATTGGTACCCATATAATGCATAATTTTACAATTTTTTAAATATTTTTTATTATGTACCATATTACTAAATTTTACTTATGTACTATAATTCAAATGTTATTAATATACAACTAAAATAAAATACTTTTAAATAAACTTAAAAAATACATAATATATCATAATTTATTAATAATTTCACATTGTATTAATATTAAAAACAAATTTTCAATTAGTAACCAAATTATACATTCAATACAAGTGCTTTCCATTTTACTTCAATTATATTCTCTATAATATCAATTAAAATATATTCTACAATAGGCACCACTTGTAATAATTAAATTATATTGAGTTCATCACATAAAGTCATCTGAATCATAACCACTATTTTCTGTATTTGATGTCATATTAGATGAATTAAATAATGAATTGTAGCTTCTAAAAAAAAGGAATATATATTTTATAATAATATACATATATTTTAGTTTCAGAAGAATTAATTAGAAATAGGAAATACTTTGAAATGAACATTCTATCGTACCTCATTTCAGCTTCTTCTTGACGTCTTTTCTCTTCAGCTTTTTCTCTTTCCTTCTGTTCTCTTAAAAGTTTTTTCTTATCTTCTCTCTCATTTTTATCTCTTTGTTCTCTTTCTGCTTGTAAATTTACTTGTTCTGAACGCTTAGTTTTATTAAGTCGATTAACAATAATATTTTGACGTTTTGTAACATGGATTTTACGAACATCTTTCTCTTTGTGGAAACCAACCTGACCAACTTCCATTCCCTGAGTCTTTTTCAAATTAGACCACATTGTATAAACTACATCAATGTCATTCATTCTATTTCCATCAATACTGTTTGCTTTTACTAATTGTGCGGCATCTTCCAAAACTGTACTCGGGATATCATCTATTGTTTGACCCTAAACAAAAGATAAAAAAGAGTAGTTCATTTGTATATTTATATACTATAATAATATCAGAATAGATATATATCATCTTTACCATATGTAATCGTAAATACACATGAGCCGAAGAATATTTGTCCACATGAAACCAAACATCTTCTGGCCAACCCCATTTAATCAAATCCTCATCTAAATGTTGTATAAATATAATATTAATAATAACCGTTATTTAATTGTCTAATTTAATGAAATTATATCATCTCACTTACTTTCATATTTATCAACCCCCATAAATAATGTTACTGGCGGTTGTACAACTGCAATTCAAAATAATAATTTATTCTAACCTTACAAAATGTTACAAAAAACATAATTATAACTATATACACAAGTAACATATAATCTATGTACATTTTGAGAAACAAATAAAAGGAAAATGATAAATTACCCTCGCTTGTAAAATAATATACCATCGTTCCACAAATATTGATGTAAATGCACGTGTTAACGAAAACAACTGTCAAAAAATAATGTCGACACTAACGCCACTGAACTACCAATGTTTTACTATCAGTTACTATATTCACTTGATTCTTCTTAGTACATATATACTCGAATAATGTTCATTTTGTAACAGAATAACACAAAGAACTCAATTTCAAGTCTATAAGTTTAACGTTGTATTATATTAATGTTATTTTAAGGTAAAAATTTGAAAAATATAATTAGTACTACTGCAGATAAATTATTAATTTATTATTTGAATATAAAGTACAAAGCATATATAGATACAGCATATTTCTATTTTTTTTAAATCATTTCTATCATAAATGGTTAAATCAAAATTTGTATATTACTTTAAAGTTATTACTTTCATCAAACAGCGGTGCTAGTAATTAAAGTGACTGATATTGTATTTAATTTTTTAATACAATCATTAGGAACAATGATAAATTAATAAACATGCGATTTTTTAAATGAATTACATTTAAATTCCGATTTTTTTTTCAATTATAACATACCATGTATTTCCTGTAGGATCTATTTTTGTAAGTTTATATGAAAATATGTTTATCCCACAGATATTGAAGATTTTTATATCTGTTAATAATATTAATTCATCCTAGAACGATTCATATGGATGGCATGTTTTTCAGCATGATATGTTTTAAATATTTGATTGAATACAGGATATATTTCAGGATCATTAATCCATACTGATGATGCTGAAGGTGTGTCTAGCATTGTTAAGTATGCTGAGAAGAATTATTAGTTACTAAAAAATAATCAAAAATTTGTGGAATTATTAAATCAAAAATTGTAAATTTATATTTACCAAGAAGCACTTTTGGATTATTAAGGCTGAGTTGTATTTGAGGATTGCTTATAATTGCATGATAAATGGATTCATTTGTATCAAGGCCAATATCTAAATCTTGTAAACTAGGTCGTCGTTCACCAAGTAACCATTCACACTGTACAAGTCAGATATTTTTGAATTAATTGTAATATGGAATACATTACATTAGATATAGTATTATACTTACAGCATTAAATTGATTATTTCCAGTAATTTTTAATGCTTCTATTATATTTTTCTCTTCAAAACCCATTTCCAAAAATGTTTCTATCATTCTTGGATTTGGTTTAAAATTTAATTTCTTAAATTGCCGGAAATGTTCTAATAAGAGAGTTACAATATTTACTAGATTCTCTTTCACGAATTGAGCTTCCCTATCTGAACATTAGTACAACAAATATATTTAACATAAGTGATAAACTTAGAGAAGTTAAATTATTTTAATGGGTAATATCATTACCACTAAAAATATCAGCACATGCTTCCTTAAAGGTTATTTTTGTACTGCCTGTTGAAGAACTAGGACCTGCTTCATTGACATCTGTTTTGGCATATAAACAAACTACTGTTGTTTCATCTTCGTAATCATCATCTGGATCATCTTGATGTTCTATCAGCCATTCTAAAGCCTCTGTTACATCGGACCTATAAATATAAGGTACTATATTTCGTCATATTGTATTTGAAAAATATAACATCATATTACTTACTTTCGTACATGAAGTGCTGTAATCACCTTTTTAAAAGAATAACCCATATCAGTTAATGTTTTTATAGCTTTAGAATCAATATTTGGCCAACATCGTTCTTTAAATTTTTCTTTAATCATTTCAAAGAGCTTTGGTGCCTCTCGACTACCCATTAATAGTCTTGCTGATGCTTCCACAAGTGTTATTAAAATTTTACGAGTTTCATTCTGAAACTGTTAATAAAAAAAGGCAAAATATTCAAGAAATACTATTACTACTACTATCAAAAATATAATATTACATCAAAAGAGAAATTAATAGGTGGTATATATTTAGGTGGATTTCTTATCGGTAAATCACTAGTAACATTTGTTATTGCTTCTTCAGTTGGACCTTTTAAAGATTCCTCTGGGAAATTTTCTTTGTTAGAAACAGACCGAATTTCTACTAATATTAATTCATCTAAAATAAAAATAATATATGTATGGTAAATGACTTATTATTTTATTGTTTACAGTATTAAAAATTTACCATGCTCATCAATTTCTTGATCGTTAATATCTTTATCATCTATGAGTTGTTTAAACTTAGATGAATGGATTAAACGAAACTTAGAAATAGATTTAGATATATCCTGGCCATAAAAATGTTTCATTGCTATTTCTTTAATTTTGTTTACAGTGAAATCAGTTCTTACCCCAACGTCCAATACATGACCTTCCATGCTATATGAACAAAATAGATGTAATTATTTATTATTTGTAATATTAACAAAATTAATTGATAATTATAAATTTAATAACCTGATAACGTTCACGTTAAAGCACTTAGTAGTTGAAGATGGTAGCATTTGTACGGTGCTATTATTTTCCGAACTGCCTGTATCGTTAGAAGAAAGAGTCAAGGACTGCCTTTCAGCTGTCCTTGAGCTCTTCCTGTTATGCCAGGCTTCTGCTATTCGACCACGCATCCATGGAATCATCAATTTGGCTTGTATCAATACAAAAAATATATATATATATATTACAAATCTCTTGTACCTTTATAAAAGAAAATGTTTATTTGACCTTTTAAGTAAATCTGTCACATAAACATTACAAATTACTCACTTCGTTTATAAACGAATGTATGTGGAATGTAATTAATTATTTCTTGAATAATGTTTCAAATTTTGACTTCTTGCAATATGCTTATTAACATCAATATACAAAAAGTTAGTTACATCAATTTTAAGTTACATACTTATAAAAAAATTACTGTGTTTTAATCGTCTTAAAAGAGATAACACATAGTTTCGCATAATTTCGCATATAGCGAAGTCAAATTAATTAATGTTGTTTGTCAATTTTTCTAACAATAAAAGTATTTTTCTTACAGCTGATATGAACCAAATTGGCACTCACTATAATTCTATACGTCAACGATTGTAACAACTAAAATATTATTAAGGAGCATTCACATGTGTTGGTTAAACATATAGTGATATTCACCAAACGATTGATAGATCACCTTTATGCGCATGTGTATTATTGTATTGTCATTTTACATAAAAATAAATGTTCTGTCCAAGATGATAAGTAAATAATAGAAATAGAGGTAGTATTACGTTCTGTTGTGTAGTGATATTATCATATGTGAAATTGAGAAGTATTGTGATTTTTTTAGAAGTGGAAATTTTTTTATGGTACAAGCAGAACAGTAGAAGACATTATTGCATTTTATTAATATGATAAACGTTATTTTGTAAACGTGTCTATCAAGATAATTTTTAATTACCAAAAAAATTATAATTAACAAATTATCGTAATGGTGGAAGTATCAGGTTGTGGTGAATTACAACAATTAGTTCAAGAAGAAGAATGTGAGGAACCACTTAGTCGTGGTGGTGAAGCTACACCTCCTTCAACACCAGCAAGATCACAACATCCAAGTAAAAATGAAACACATAGTTCTCATGTATCGGTACGAATTATGTATGTCTTTTATGTTTGTAATATCGACAAGTATTAATTAATTAATACATCTTTAGCAACAAGTATTATGGGAAAGCAATACTCAGACTTCTCCTATTGTTAGTAAGGGTAGTTCTGGCCAAGCAACTAGTCAAGGTTCTATGGTTTCTGGTAGAGCCATTAATTTTTCAAATCATACTGCCAATCAGTCTCGTTTGATTTATCTTAATGAAAAAGAGAAACAAAGACCTAATCGACCAGAACCTCCAAGGCTCAATCGACAACAAAAAGGTACTAATTTATAGTATATTATTTATCCATACATTTTATTTTCTATATATATATATATATGTATATATATCTTACGCACACGCACACACACGTGTGTATTATTATTTATATTTTTGCGATGTTGTCTATTGTAATGTGTTTATTATGTGTCCTTGTAATTGTTAATTTTGTTTTTTATTTACATTTAAACTTATTTTGTTTTTACAAGAATATTTTTGAATTATTTTGATTTTTTAATTGCACCTCTTTCATTTTGTTTTGGTGTCATAATATATAATAGATATGACACCATGCAAACATCATTGTTTTTTATCAGAGGTACCTGATGTCAGACGCATGGAACAAGCTTTATTACAACTATTAGAAGATTTTCATAGTGGAAATTTACGAGCTTTTGGTTTGTATATACTATCAATTTTATATCCATAAGTAAAATATATATATAACATTTTTAATCCATATAATAGGTAAAGATTGCAGTATGGAACATATGACAGAGATAAGAGAACAGCAAGAACGTCTAGCCAGACTTCATTTTGAATTGGGTCAGAGACAAGAAGTTGGTAGCGAACAATCTGGCTTAAGACAATCAAGTGCAAATATGAGACATTTACTTCATCGTCTTCAACAACTTAGTGTTTGCATTGAGAAGCTACATAGTAAATAAATTTAATATTAAACAGTAGAAGTAAATTTTCTACAATTTTCATATTATACTAATCCTACAAGATAAATAAATTATATCAAATTTTATCCCTAATGTATAATTATTTAAATAATATATAATCTGTCAAAATGATTTCTTATTGGTTATATATATATACATTTTTTTTTTTTTTTTTTTTTTTTTTTTTTATAAAACAATGATATATCTAGAATATATATCAAACTTCACTATTACATATTAATACGGATTGCATTAAAAATCCAGATTTGTTTTATTTGATATAATTGAATGACATATATTAAACTATGACAAATTGTATGTACAAAAAAAATATAGAGTTATATGAAGAACCAACTACTTATAAATATGATTATGTACATCATCCGTTGAGTTTAACAGAGGTAAATTTATGATCATATAAAACAATTATACTTTGTAACATAAAAAATCACATCATTTAGAAAACTTCCGCAACAGTACATGTTATAAGTCCATTAAAGGATGCAAAATATTTAGACTTATCAAAACAGACAGTTAGAGCCCATGATACTTTACAATGCTTAAGCTATGATAAGCAAATACCATTTAATACTCTTTGGGAATCTAGAGATACAGTAAGTATTTCTGTAAAGCCATCAATTAGACACAAAATTCTTGGAGATCATGGGTATCAAGAAGTAATAAGGTCAGAAAAATAATACTTGTAATATGTAAAATATCCTTTTTTTAAATAAGATTAATGTAAATAATGAAATATTTTAACAATATATAGATCTAGGCCACGTGTGTATATGACTCCAGGTATAAGTCTTGATGATATACAGAATTCTAAGACAAGAAAACTATTGGTTGATTTTACATACATGACAACATCAAATCATGCTTCTAAAGATGTTTGGGGTGATTTTGAACCAAAACATCCATGTCATACTGAAATAAATGTAGAAGAAATATGTAAAGAAGTATGGACTACATGATTACATTGTTATAGTTACAAATTGGAACAACTATTTAAAACATTTATTGTTTTATAGAGTATGCAAAAACCATTGTGTATTTTATCAGCACGGTTTCCAACCGAAGCTGACAAATGGGATAAATTGCAAGATCGTTTATTTTCTATGAGTACTACGTCAACTTTGAATAATATTAGATCAAAAATTGATCCTATACATAGGTAAATTTACATTACATTATGAATTTTCCTTGAAAATTTACAAAAATATTTTTCATTATTTCTAGTAACTCAGAAAGTAAACATTTAGAAACAGAACCAAGTAATGAAAGATTGGAAGTGAAAAGATTGTTAGAAAAAGATAAATTGCGTATAGCTTATGATAAGTTATCTCTGACGTATGGTGGTTATAGACCATGCGTAGGTTTAGGTATTCCTTTAGAGAAAAAGGTATTACCAATTGTTCATCCAGATTTATCTATATCACAGGCACTTCATCGGTATGTATATTTTATATATTTTATTAAAATAGCACATATTTAATTATAATCTAATATTTTATATAATGAATATAATCTCTCTATATATATATGTATATATATATATATATATATATATATATATATATATATATATATATAAATATATATTGCAGATGTTCAAAGTCCTAAATTAAAAACAATCGTCTCGAAAAATTCTTTATTGTTTATCATTTTTGAAAAATTATATAAACACTTAATATTATATGGTAAATTTACTTTTTGTTGAAAATTAAGATTATTATTAATCAATTATATTTATTTATAAATTTGCTGTAATTATTTGAACGCTTAAGCAAGCAACACTCCATACACCGTTGACAATGTTATATATGTGAAACAATACATGTTTAATTATTTAATAGATAAAATATTTCTAATAAGGGAGTTTTGTTTTATTAATATATCTGTAATAATATTATTTAAATGTATATATAAAATGTAATGCTTTTTTTTGTTTTTATAATAGTAGCATTAGATTATTCACAGTGTTTACATTATAATTATATTATAGCTTTTATGTAGATTATTTAAATAAATATATAAACTTTTTATAATTATTAATTTCGTATAAATATATATATATTAAGCTTTATATAGATAAAATGACAAAGGATACTTTACTATATAACAACCATGATGTAGAATCATTTAATCTTACATTAAAATATTTAAACATTGCGAGAATAAGATACTAAAAGCTATTCATTACATCATAAAACAAAACATAAAGATAGTGCATATGCAGCACGCTTTCTAACAATACTTTCTGTATCCCGTAGGAGTTGCAGCAACCTTTGAATATCTTCTGGCCTTGGTGAACCAAAATATCCTAAAAGTAATGCAGATGTTGCCCTAGTATTAGAATTTTCAGATCTTGAATATCCTCGAACTACAGCATTTCTGAAAACAATAATTATTAAACATGTAAAATATATTTCATATTAATATTTCAAAATTTATAAATACCTGAGTTCTTCTGCTCTTTGTGGAAGCACTTTTTGTAGACAATGTATCAAATTCGATATAAATTTTTCAAAATTAAATTCGATATTTAGTCCTAAGGAAGCATGTATTAAATCAAATAATGGTTGACACTGTAATAATCTTGCTGTATTATGTAAAGCTTCTTGTGCTATCTATTGATTATAGATAATAAAAGTATATACACACCAAAAAGTTAACAAATAAATAATTACTAATTACTAATATGATACCTTAGCTACTGTAACATTTTCGTCCTCTAGTCTTATAGTAAGACAGGGTAAGCAACCCAAAAGGTGATTTTTTATATCATCATCTGGTGAAGTAACCATTTTCTGCCAACTACAAGCTACAGCACTTAAGGCACTTATAGCTGCTAATCTCATTTCCCAGTTTTCTTTTTCAATGAATGGTTTTAAAGCAAGTACAACTCGAGGACTTACTGAACGCCCAAACTGAACTGATAATAGTACAGAAAGACCACGTAGTGATTCTAAAATCACATCATTACCTCCATCTCCAGTGGCAGATTCTTCCAAACCATCAAGTAATGCATCCATACAATTATCAAAATATTCATCAACCTGAAACAATATACTTCATAAAAAATGTACTAAATATGGAATAAGCAGTTAGATATTATCTATAAGTAAATTTTATTACCTGTTTAGGCTCTAAATAGGCAATTCTTGCAAGTCCAATAGTAGCTAATTTTCTAACCAAAGGAGATGAATCAGCTTTTGCTTCATACAATGTATTTATAATTGCATCTAGCCATATAACATCATAATTAACTTTCCCTATTAATTCAGAATAAAAAGTTGCAGCTACTGCTCTTTGGGCAGAAATCGTACTTGTCATCATTTTTCCCAAAGACTGAGTCAAAGTTGATAATACATTATTCTTCGTATATATACATCTCATCATTGTACGTACTGTTGCCACTACACTTTCCTCAGCTTGTGCTTCAGAGGAAAAGATCTAAAATTTGTAAATTATTAATAGATACTAGAAGCTGTAATGCATAATCATAAAATTATTATTGTGCTCACATTTTCATTAAGTAAACTTGATGCTATATTTGAATCTACTACAGTTAATACATTGACTAATACAGAATAAGCTTCTGTATGTGGATTTATCCTACATCCTTCTCTATTTGGCACATAACCGAATTTAGTACTAATAACACATACAGGAGCATCAACATGTAACCATCCTGCAAGATATTTCAATAATACTGATAATAGATTTGATAACTGTTTATCAACCAGTTCTTTTGAATTTGGAGATTGTAGTAAATGTCGTAGAGCTACAATAGCTGCCAATGATGGAAAAGATGCTATACCATTTTTAGCAGTCTGTACAGTAGCATTTTCCGCAAATAAATTATTGTTTTCTAATTTTGTCAGAAGGAATTCCAAAGCCTAAACAAATAAAATCGGAAACTTTGATGTTATATAAAATTAAACAAAAAATTTTCACTTAATTTAAAACAATTAATTATAATGCAGAAAATGTTATTAAAACGTACACGAGAACCTAAATCTAAACTAACACCAAGTGCCTTCCAACATTCTTCACTGCCTCTATCTAATGGCAGTGGTTGACATAAAAGTCGTTCGATTACTTCTTCAGGATGATGTTCCATTAGGAATTTAATAGCAATTGCAGTATTTCTTCTATAACTATTATCTTCCATCTGTCTCATTTGTGCAATAATACTATCTATATAATAATTAAAATACATTATACATTTTTAATCATATTAAATTTTGATGTATATTAAAAATTTATAGAACTCACCAACTAAGGTAATATCACTTATAGATATTTCTGATCCCTTAATTTTAAAATGTTGGGACAGAGCTACACTTGCAGCAAAACTCGCTTCTCCACGAAATAACAAACCTTCTATTAAACCTTCTGCTAGGCTGATAATGTCACCACTATTAATTCTTTCAGATACAGCTGTAGCTAAAATCTAAATAAAAATATACCATTACACTTATTATACATGAAACCATAAAGTTTAATGAACTTACTTTAATGCCATCATAACAAGCTTTTGGGTCTTCACCAACAATAATTTTCTTGGAATTATGTAAGTCTTTGTCTAAATTATTATCAGGGGATAAAGCACGATGTCGAGCTCCAATATTTAATGATAATGCTACACAATCTATTGCTATTGGTCTAAGCGAATGTTCTGAATCTGCACACCATGATAAAACTCTTCCCATAAGCCTCCCTGGTTCTAGTTTACCACCAGGATAAGTATATTTTAAAGAATTATAGTATGATCTATAAATGCAAAATCAAGTTAATACAAAACTAAAATAATAATAATAATAATAATAACAATCAATGAAAGTCAATATTTATTAAAAAATTGTTAATCTACCTAAGAGTTGTCCTTAATACTAATAAGGTAGTTTTTCTTTCAGTGGTTGATTTTGATTGCATCCAAGGTAACATTATGTCAATAAGATCAGCTAATGCATCAGCAGAATCGGATACAATTTCACTACATACAATTCCTAATTCATCTATTACCTGCTGCATAAATTCTGACTGTAACAATAGAATTACCTGTGAAAAAAAATGA